TGGCCCCCCCCCCACCGTGGGGCAGCCGGAGCCCCACGGCCCAGCACATCCCCACACCACACCAGCCCTGTCTCGAGCGTGCCAGGGGAAACTGAGGCACAACACTACTGAGGAGCAGTGCTCCCTCTCCCCACCTAACCCTGACCCTGGCCCAGGGTCCCGTGCCATGCCGGTGACCTGGGTGGCAGGCCAGCAACTGTGGTGGCACGCCGCGGTCTCCGGGATGCTCTTCGGCCAGAGGAGACCGGGGACTTGATGGAGAGCAGCCGCCACCAGCAGCACAGCAGCGCCGAACCCTCTTGTCTCTCTTCTTGTCGGCGCTGGGGAAGCACAGCACCACTGCTCCCCACTGCTGTGAGCACGGGAAGTCCGTCCTGGACTGCAGGAATCCGTTTTTCCTCCTTGCCTGGCTCTGTGGCAGGGCACAGAGGTCCAGCTCTGCCAGGCGGGCAGCACTGCCTTTGCCGGGCCGTTTTCAGCCACGCTCGGCTCCCCCGTGCAAGGTCCTGGTGCCACGGCCACGCCGCAAAGGTCAGCGCGGTGCAGCTCAACGTTGCAAGAGGCTTCGTGATGGTACCACAACCCAGAGTCCGTCTGCAGGGACCAAACGTGGCCCCTCCGGAGCCGCCAGCGGGGAGGGGAGCCGGGGGCTCCGGTGATGGCACCGCGGTGGCACCACGAATGGACACAGAGGAGCAGAGAAGAGAGGACAGCGAGGAGGGAGAACGCGGGGCCGTGGGGCTGCACCCTCCTACCTTTCCCCTGAGCAAGCGGCAGGGCCGACGCTTTTCTGGCCAGGGGTGAAGGAGTGATAAGGCGGTGGGGCTCCGTCGGGCAATTTTTTCACCTCTGAATTCCTAAATCCTCCGTTGCGGACACGGTGCAAATGCTCAAACATTAGGACCAGCTCTCTGGGGTTGGGGTTAAATAAAAACATGGAGAAATTCAACTTTCCAAAACAACATGAGATGAGGAAACCAAGGCTGAGCAGAGACTCCTCTGGGCAAACCAGAGCAAAACCAGAGCAAAACAAGAAGCAAAAAACAGCACTTTCTTTCAAAAGACAGTGTCGTAACAGCTCTAACACCCGCTGCCAGCACCTGGGGGTGCTGGGAACGGGTCCCACAGAGGCTGGCCACCAGCGGAGGGGCTGGACCAGTGCCGAGGGGGATGGTTCAGGCAGGACAACCACCCTTGCTGCGAGGTGGGGACATGGGGACCTGCCACCATCTGATCTGGGGGTCCGGACACTGCCGGAGCAGGGGGAAGGTCAGACCCAGCAGGGATCGAGCCTGGCCCTATCTCAACTCTGCACAGCAGGAGGGGCTGGCGGAGTCCCCCGTGAGCGATGCCCATGCCAGGAGAGCCCGGCACCACGCTCGGCAGCGATGCCCGGGAAGCCGGATCTCCTCAGGGACCAGTGGGCCTCGCTGCGGCGGCTAAGAGCACTGTCTTTGAAAAAAACGAAGAGTGAAACGGAACAGTGAATTTGTCATCGCAAAGAAACACATGGCCGGAGCAGGGGCAGGAGGCAGAGGCAGGAGGAGGGCAGGGCTGCGGCACACCCTGCTGCCAGCCCGGGGCAGGGCTCAGGCACAGGGACCGCACGGTACACACGGGGCATCCAGAGAAGCTTCGGAGAGTCCTCGATCCACCCGTGGTGGCAACACCCCAGAGGACAGGGAAGGGGAAAACGTTGCAGGGATGGGGCACGGGGCTCCCCGCTGGACCCTCCGGG